CTAAGTCTCGGACCGCCGCCCTTTGCTGCCGCAGCCAAGAAGCCACCCAGAACAGGCTGCAGAGGATGCTGGAAGTGGCGCCGGAGCTAGTCTCTCGAGACACTAACTCCCAAAATAATTTGGGAGTTAGTGTCTCGACCTTCCTGAAGTAAAAAACAAAACAAAAAAAAAAACGCTTTTGCCTGCGTGTGCTGCAGGTCGGGAAATAATCTCTATTTTGCCTTGTGATTACGCGGCAGAATCGAAACATTTCGAAGGAAGGAGGTGTGTTTTCTGTCCTTTGTGACAAGGTGAACAATGTCAAAAGTAGAAGATGCCAATTCTTTCAACGTTAAAATCGTTGCACAGCTCCTTTAAGTGGAAAGCGGCTCTGCCGCATTTCACGCAGAGCAGCCGTCGTGGCATGTCAGTAAGGGCATTCGGAGCACTAGCGACAACGTACCGGCAGAGTGTGGCGAGGAAACTGTGCAGAGAGGCGGGGACACGTTTGCAGAAGGTGGACGCTTTTGAGTTTTGACTCCTTGTATGTTGCGGCTTATTTAGCTAACGTGGCCCACAAACCACGTCACCCCAATCGAGCAGTTGGCCCATCTCTCTCTAAAATCTAGGCTCTATATACTGACGACAAACAAGCGTGAGCGTGAACTCAGTGCCGTGCGTGCCTTCGTTTGTTTCGTGATCCGTGTCAGTGTCTGGTCGGTGAGGTCACTCTTGCGCGAAAGTCTACTCGCTCAAGCACCGATTCGGTGAATCATCGTCCCTTAACAATGGAGAGTCCCAGCACTGCCGACTGCTCGACGGGGAAGACAACGGAAATCTCCTTGAATCAAAAAAGTGCCATCATTGACGAAGTGCGCATAAACATAAAGAAAGCTATCCGCCGCCGGTGTCCTCCACTGCGGCCGTAGCAGCTGTCGACACCGTTCGTACATAGCCGCATCTTTTTTAGATCGGCGCTTGTCGCACTTGACGAGAAGCGGCTCCAACCTAGCACAGGACGCGTGCAGGAAAGCCTCAACCGCTTTCTGTGGGCTTGTTAAACATGTGCTTATGACATCCCGTGTCACAGGCACACGATGCAAAGAAGCAGATATAGTGAAGCGATTTCCGATTCCAGTTGACTCCGTTATAACCGTTCTCGACAGTATTCAGCCCAAATTGAAGCTACTGTAATAAGGAGAGTGCATCCCTTCCTCACCTCACCAACCTGCGCCCGCTCACAGTGGAGGATCTTGTTCACGAGGGGCACGTGCAGGGAGTAAGTGAGGTACTTGGCACTGTAGCCAGGGCAGTCGCACCCACCGTCCCCAGCAAGGTCTAGGGGCTGGTCACGAAGCTCCTCTTTCCACACCTGTGCGACGCAATGCTGACATGTTTGACACTGGCCTAAACGCTTCAGTGAAAATGTGCAACCTTTTCTGCACTATCATGGTAGGGGCAGTGGTCAAACAAAACATATTATGTGTCGCCTCACTCTTTGTGCCTCAAGGATCGAATCAAATCATTTGGTGCAAATATCATTGTGCATAACCTAGAAAAGAAAGCCCTGCCTCCAGCATGAATGGAATGCAAAGTTGGTGTCTGTTATGGTTGAGCGCACTCCCACCATATGCGCAAAAGCGATCACACTTGCGGTAAGACCCCCTTTTCTCTTGTGCGCTGCTAAAACAGTTGGTCTCTACTTGCAGTCAGCTTTCTGTGGCAATGCAGTCAACGCTAGGGGCGGAAGTGCGCCAACCGCTGTAGACGTGCTTTCCTCCTCTCTTCGGATTGCCTTAGAAACCTGACCATGAATATAGCATCATGTTAACGACTGGAGGGAACCTGGTTCGAAACCTGGCACATCCTGCCTTTTTCTTTTTCAAAAGGGTGATTTTGCGTCGCTTCCGTAACTAACTTTCCTTTCAGGTTTCGCTTTCAAAATAGCATTACAGGGAGTGCTAGCAGCCAGCCGCAAACACATTCTGTGTTAAAATCCTCCGGTTTACGTTTGGTGACACAGGGCGTGCAGTGCGATTTGGTGGGAGTGTCGTTGGGTCTTCGAGCTTCTTTCCTCGCACCTCTCACTACACATACTCTGTCACCAGATTTTAAGTGTGAGATGAAAGCACCAATATGACAATTAAATTATAATAAATAAAATATACACCAACCAAATCCTCGTATAAAGGCCAAACCCTACGTTTCAAGACCAGCTCGGTCTCTTCTTCAGGGGTTGACTGAGGCTATGGCCGTTGAGGAGCAGTAATCTGTTTTCTTCTTCTTCTACGGCAGTGTCTATCATTTTGCATCGGTGAGGTGGCGAAGTCCGTTCACGTAGCCGGCCGGCAGAGTGCCGAGGGATCTATTTATGTTTTCTGGCGTTGTTTGTATGTGCCAAGATTCATTTTCATTCATTTATTTCATTTCATTTATTTCCACTTTAAAGCCCCAGTCAGGGCATTACATAAGGGGGGGGGGGGCAGTACGACACAATAAATCAACATATAAACGCAATAAAATACAATAATATGCAGTCAGGAAAAATTTGAGTAGAAGTTATACATGATGAAAGCAAAAGAACACTCACAAAAGATGGGTTTGAAGCGCATTCAGGAACGCTGTCGCGTCGCTAATGGTGACTATCGATGATGGCAACTGATTCCATTCGGATATGGCGAGAGGAAGAAGGGATTCGGTAAAAGCTTTGGACTTACCAGAAATTCGTTTGATGGCGCAGGAGTTATTTAGATGAGACGACATTCTTTCTGGGGGTGATAATAAAGAGTCACTGAGGTCTGGGCAGTGGTAGTAAATTTTGTGAAGGAGGCAGAGTCGAGAAACTTTCCTTCGTAGGAGCAGAGGCGTCAGTCCGAGTTGATTTTTCAAAGAAGACACACTGGTGAAATGATCGTATGATGATAGGATGAAACGAGCGGCTCGGTTTTGCACTGCTTCTAATGTATTGATAAGGTATGCTTGATGGGGGTTCCATATTGCAGCGGCATACTCTTATTTAGAGCGAATATACGTTTCCTAGGCTAATTTCCGTACCATGTGGGGGTGCATCTCTTAGGTTTCGTCTCATGAATCCGAGGGTCCTGGATACTTCTGCAGAGATGGCTTCAATGTGAGTTTTCCAAGTGAGGAAAGATGTTAGTCTGATACCGAGATATTTGTACATGGGAACAGCTTCAATCACATCGCTGTCAATGGAATATTGATATGTTAACAAGGACTGTTTTCTAGTGAATTGAACTAGTTTGCACTTAGCTTTATTGAGCCTCATCAACCATTTACCACACCAGTGGCTAACCTCCTTAAGATCATTCTGATTTCAATAAAAATAGATCCCTCGGCACTCTGCCGACCGGCTACGTGAACGGACTTTGCCACCTCACCAATGCAAAATGATAGACACATCCGTAGAAGAAGAAGAAAACAGATTACTGCTCCTCAACGGCCATAGCCGCAGTCAATCCCTGAAGAAGAGACCGAGCTGGTCTCGAAACGTAGGGTTTGCATTTATACGAGGATTTGGTTGGTGTATATTTTATTTATTATTATTGTTGCTCCCCAACCAGAGAGACTTCTCTCAAATGTTCACCTTCAAGACAATTAAATTGTTTCAGAGCCAAATGAAAATTAAAGGAAATTGCCACATGCCTTGCCCAGTAGCGCACGAGCCACGTAGCGCAATACTTTTTAGCTGTGTGTATCGAACAGCAGCAGAAACAACACTAGCAAAGCGGAAAAAGCAGCGGTCATCATTGGCAGACTCGGCTATATCCCAATAAATCAGTTTGAATGGTTCAACCACATGGTGTCACTTACGGTTTTGTAATAAGGCAACCATACGTGATTGCATAACATTATGTGATTATGCAACATAAGGCGATTACGTAAAGTCAGACGATCTTTCGTACATTGGGCAGCTAGGAACACATTTTTTTTCGTAATGTTTACTGTAAATTTAATCTCTCGGAAACCATAAATATATTTTGTGTTAACCCTGCATACGAATGTAGGAGCACATCAGATAGCATCATAATCACCTGTTCGACTGCTGGAATCAAGATGGCCCGCTGGTAATTGAAGAAGGTCTTCCTGCAGATGACCTGGATCTTCATGAGACGCCACAGCCGCAAGGTTCTTGTTGGAGAAGCACCCGTAAACAGAACGAGCGATGAGAGCAGCAGGTCTTCAACAGCCCTTCTTTTGATGCATGGCTAACTGTCCCAGCGGTGTGTGTGCTTAGCAGGGCAACAGGTGCGCACAGTCAGGAGCGTGCCTCTTACTTTCATGGACACGGTGCAGCTGCTGTAGCATGTCTGGCATACTGCAAACAACAGTCGTAAGCAGCTCTCAAATACAATAAACTTCCTCTCCTTGTAGCCTAGCTCCCCGCTTGTGGTGGCATCATCCCTGGAAGAGTTATCAAAGTTCAGAGTTAATGAATACCTTCTGTGCTCACATTACCAAAAAGAATAGAGCATTATTGCCTCATTCATGTCTGAGCAACTGGCTAATACCTGTTAGAGACATTCTATGCAAGACAACACTATTCTCAACTGCTAAAAATGTTGCAAAGTGCAAGTGTTTGATCAAAATCGACTAACACTTACATCAAATATGACTTACTAAAAAATTGATGGTGTCTTGCTAGTGCAAATTATGTGGCACACTGCATTTTTTTTGCACTAACCCAATGAACCTATTCCGATATGATTTTTGTGTGCACAGAACATGCTTATATAGCTCCATTCGTAACAAACAAACGTTGCGTTTGATGGCCGAATGATCTAAGACGTCGTGTTTTTGATTTGCCACCGTAGTGTTAGTTGCTCTGTAAAGCAAGCAACTACATGTTCCTTCCTGTCTAGCCTGCTTTATCTAAAAAAAAATTCTTACTCGACAGACCCTTTTTTGACGAATGGCTTGTACAGGGAGTCTCCTCTGCCCTCGCCATTCTCATTGTAGTAGTCGTCGTCATCGTCGTCGTCGTCGTCGTCGTCGTCTTCCTCCTCCTCCTCCTCCTCCTCCTCTGAATCACTTGCGTGGGGGCTCATGGCGGGTGCCAGGGCCGGGTTAAGCGGTGGCACTGGAGTGGTGGTGGTGAGGGTGGCATGGTTGCTGGTGCTGTGGCCGCTGCTGCTGGCAGTACTGCTGCTGCTAGGAGGCAGCTCCGAGCCTTCCGTCTGGACCCAGTGGCTGGTCACACATTTTGCGTAAAAATTTACCTGCGTGCCTGAAGGAAGGAAAGGGGTTAGCATACCCGGTTCTTCCTTCTGCTTCTGACCAAAACAAGCTTCTACAAAATTGTGTTCTGGCACAAGACTACACTTCTCAGAACCTCATAAACCGGAACTACCAAGTTCCCGTTCATACTGAAATGAACATCAACTACAGCAGGAGTGGCCAAACTGACAGTGCGGAAGAGCCGCAAACGAAAATAGCTAAACTTCAGAAAGCCGACGACAAGAGAGAGAGAGAGAGAGAAAGGCAGAACATTTCCTCAACAGCCAAGCAGAAGTGCACGCATGCTTTTGCAATTACAGTCCCTGACATGCTTTGCAGGATCCGAAATTATTTCAAGTATTATAAAGGAAAGAGTTCTTTGAGCACACATCTGAGTCCAAAGTGATCCAACCGTATGCATGGTGTGAAACGGCTCCAAAACGGCAAGTATTCGTCAAGCAGACTAATACGGGCAGCTCTTTCCATACTTTCCAAACAACTTTTTTCCCAGCCTAGGGTCTGTTCTAGTCGATCTGTCTTTTGTGAGAGGCGGCCTCGGAATTGGCCCAGGCTCCACCTGAACTGCTGCGTCGCGTGTAGTCGGTAGGGCCACCTGAACCGCTGCGTCGCGTGCAGTCGGTGGGTCCACCTGAAGCGCTGCGTCGCTTGTCGATGCTCGGTGACGGCAGCGGCACCTGCCCTCACGAGGCATCTGCTCACGAGGAGTCTGGTCAACGAAGCAGTCCATCTCCTCGACCGGATCATTGTCCTAGAAACCGAACATTTTCGGGAAGCCTCTGCTCTAAAGGTTTTTGACCGTCTGCCGCTGACTGTATTGTAACAGTGCACTCACCAGAGTTCGTTGACGTTTGGACGCTGGATCTTCGGCTGGGGAAAAGGGAGGCTTCCCGGTGAGGGGCAAACGAAGCGATGGAACCGCCTCGGGCTTCAGACGGACATCCTTCATGGTCTGCACGGCGTCGCGAAGCACACTTCCTACGTGACGGTAGTCATGATCCCCGTCGAAGTGATCGGAACACACGCGGAGCTCAACCTGTCCGGGGTCCTTCCTGCTGATTCTCCGACACCACTCAGCTCGGCGAAGTTCATCACGCGGCAAAATGTGATAGCCGATGACTCTTCCCCGCTCCCGGAGCTGGCGGCTTCCTGGAGACCGGTTGGGACACAGCGGAACACCGCACCCGGTCGGCATTGTCGACGTTAGCAGCGGAAGATCAAACTAGAGACTGAAAACAGAAAGTTTGCTCGTTCCTCACGCCATGAGCAAGTGAGCAACGCCACAGAGCAAAAATGGTTTTGTTGACATCTGATAGATGGCGCCACTAAAACGACGAATAATAATATTTCGTGAATGGTAGGATACTTTCGATAAATTCGTTTATGTAAATACGACAAGATTTCTAAAAATAAGCCTTATGTTTAGCAGATAATAGCACAACTTGCCAATGTTTTACACGTTCCCCACTTGACGTCACGCGTGCGTCATGTCCACGTCACGCCGGCCGCATCCTGTGGTTCCGGCAACCACCGCTGTGCGGCTGCAGGCCGGTAAAAAAACAGTTTTAAAATGTCCAATTACATAGTGAAATCGCAACATTTTCGAGGAAGTTTGGGTGTTTTCTGTCAAATAGGGCAAAGCACATAGGATAAAAATTACAGACTGCGATTTCTTTCAACGTTAATATTGTTGCACAGCCCATTCAAGTAGAAGAATATCAAATCTTCCTTCGAGCTCACCGATGTCGGTTGGATCTGTGGCCAGCAGGACACCAAACTCGTTGATGATCTTTGTTGCGGCGGCTCGTGGGGCAGTCCTCTTTCGCTTCAGGCGGTTGACGTCCTCCTGGCTCGTAGTAGGCATTATCTGGCCGTTAATTCCCGGGTTTCGGCACCAAAAATTGTAATAATTACTAGCTTTCTTTGTTGTTTCGCGACCAGACCAAGCTCGTCAGAAGTCAGGAAAGTGCACCAACACACATCTTTTCGGCTTCGACTCGAAGTGAAGACTCCTTTATTTTCTCTAACTTCAGCTAGAATACTGGTGGAAAGGGAAAGGGAAACAACCAAAGAGGCCAGCGCCCTAAGCTGCTCAAGGCCGCCCGAAAAAGTGCTGGGGACGAGAGGGACACTTTTTGAGCACAAAGGAGCCCGCCGTGGGGTCTCCGGCGACCACCAAGACGGGAGGAAACAAGACACCACGTCGGGGGAAGGCGTGTCACACAAACTAATCAAAAACACGCTCGCGAACTGGGGAAAGTAGAAAAAAACAACACTGATGTCACATCAAACTGCGTGGGCACACCAGGCTGCCTGGTGGGCCATGAGCCCGTGTGGTGTGACACCAGACTCACTTGGTGTGCCCACCAGGCTAGCGTGCGGATGCACCAGCGTTTCTGGTGGGCACACCAAGCTGGTGTGCTCGATACACAAGCATTGAACTAATGTGGCGATGCAGGCGAGTTGGTTATGCATGTTGAAAGTAGTGAAAGCGCACAATAAAGACGAATACGAAGACGGAGAGGCAAACGCTCGTCCTGTTTGCCTCTCCGTCTTCGTATTCGTCTTTATTGTGTGCTTTCACTACTTTCAACAGAAGCATTCCTGGTGGGTACACCAGGCTGGTGTGCTCGATACAGAAGCATTGCCGGTGGGCACCCCAGGCCTTCTGGTGTCACACCAGGATTCCCTGTTGTCACACCAGGATTGCCTGATGTATTTTTTATTATTAGGGACTCCTCGTTGCTTAGTGTGATTGCACGGTACAATCCAACAAAACAGTCTTGAGGTTCCCTCACTTTTGGTAAACATGATGTAGATGCAGATAACGATAGGGGTAAAATTGCAGTGTGCACGCCTTCCTAAATAAGCAGTGAAAAAAACGGATTAAGTTAGTCTTTAAACACTTTTTTTTTGAAAATCAATGCCGAGACCGTCTGGTCCTTCAGCTTTGCCCGGCTGCAAATTTTCAGTCGCCTATTCAACTTCCGTTAACCTGATGGGCTGTTCTAACTTTTCTTTTAAATCAACTTCCAATCTCGGCAATAAAGACAAAGAAAACCTCCGGAATCTAACTTTTTAGGGCACACGGTAAATGAAAAGCTTTTTATAATTAACAAAATTTTAGGGCTCAAACGATTTGCGGTCGATGAACATATTAAGAACACCCCTAACAAAAAAAAACGAAACCAACAAACAGAGGTGTGAAATAAATTCAGCTGCTTTTGATACCCGGGCTTTCCCGTTTTTCTTTTTTTCCACTATATCGGTGTCTTTGCGATGCTCTTCATATTATTTTAGATCGACAGACGATCAGACAGAAAGACACGGGCTGAACTAAATATCTAATAGGAGCTAATTTGTGCCAGAAAAGAAAAAAAAACACGTCGAGAAAGCAACATCGAGCATCGACGGCGGCCGCAGCATTCGCCGTTAGTTTGTGCTTGTGTGCTGCTACTTACAAGCGCACCAATGGGAAGGCTTTAGCCATTATTGGGAGCACTAAATTAACAAATGCAAAACACAAATACAGCGCACACATCAAGACTAGATGCAAGTAGTGATGCACTTGTGTTGGGGTTCTGTGGATATTTATACAGCGTGTAGTTGGTCAGCCATTTCAAAGTTGCGATGCGTCGCTCGCTGTAGATCAGCAATTTAGCCAGTGCAGTACGACTGCTAGCCTAGGGTCTTCAACCTGGACCACACAGTAATGATAGACGACCGCACGCCGGTACGATGCTAATCCAGATCGAAATGGGCAGGGGTGGGGATTGAATCGAGGATCCCTGGATTCTGCAGCGCAAGCTTTTGCTCCACGTGCTCCAAGCTGGTGTGTGCTAGCGCAGTCGGCCACCGATCCCCCAACGAAAGGCAATGCAACACACTTCTGTTGTAAACGCAGCATTCCGCTTAAGAATGAAATGGGCTATACCGCTACAGGCTTTCATTCCACGTGCGTGGCATCAGAATTGCTAAAGGCCAGCGCATAAATACAGTCTGTGTTAAAAACAATCCTAGAAGCAATAAGTTGCTATTATATTGCTCAATATATAGAGCACCTTGCCATAAACAGCCATGGCAGCCTTCCTCGAAGCCAGGACTTCACCAGAGGAGACTGTCATTCTGTGTTGTCTCAGGACACTCACATCAGGAGGGCGAAAGTGTATGCCAACGTCTAGTTGGGAAAGGCTGCAGTAAGTATAGAAATGAAAACACAGATGTGAACATAGGATAAAAATATCATGGACCAACTTGAAAAAAGTACACAAAGAGACAAGGACAACGAAACAGGAACACATTCGCAATTCGATCTATTGAACAGAAAATAAAAGAATTAAGAGGATGAGAGAAATCAGAAAGGCTGTGCTCAGAGAATCTGAGCTTCAGGAACCGGGGCGGGAGGCAAAAATGTCAAGTAGATTGTTTTACAGACACTCTAGAATTAACAACAGCCTTCCCAGTAGTAATGTGGTGAGTTCGTTCTGGTAGAACATCTTGAATAATAGCACTCAAAAACAAGGAAGGGAGAGGAATACATATGCTACATACGAGTGCAGACTCCCAACACACATAAATTAGAAAAGAAAATAAATAAAGAATGCGGAAGGAGCTTTAGCAAAAGTTTGAACAGGTCCAAGTGGAACGTGCTAATTCCCAACCATATGCATAAGACTGCAAAAACAATTTCCTCGGCAGCTCAGAGAAAAGGCAGATGTGGGGACACATTGGTCGCTTATACTACGAATAATAAAGGCCTAAAGTAGTCCTATTGTATGCTTTTCATAGTATCCGTAAATTATTCACGTTTTTCCTAAGGATGACATACACGAGCAGCGTAAACAGTGCATAGGTAGGTGACAATCCATCGTAGATTGTAGAGAGAGATTGAGCTGTTTTTATGTATTAGCCATCCATCTGTTAGCTTAACTGACATGGAAGTTATGTTTTCTAAATATGTCCTTGCCAACAGGTAAATCAGCACGTTCCACCTGGTCCTGCGCTCGAGCCCCTCCGCACTCTTTACTTCTTCCTTCTCTGATTTATGCGACTTTAGTCTACACTTGCATGAGGTCTACGTGTTACTCTCCTTGACTTCTTGCAAACTATTTCTGAAGGGGTTCAGTTAGTAACTGCTCACCACCTTACTACAATCATGAAACAACTAAAAACAAATGCAACCTACACGATTCGCTAGAGGCAGTACCAAACGAAAAAGCAGGGATTGGTTGAGGTACGTCTAACACCATATACTTGCACTGTCCAAAATATAGGTACCAAGAACTGGCGATACAATGTCTTAATTCAGGGCAGGCTTGTATATTTTCCCGAAAGCTTGTAATTAATACTTGACAGCCTCTAAAAAATCACCAGTAGGAAGAGAATAAACGCTTCACCATTTGAAGCAGCCTGAATGTTTCTGGAGGTGTGAAATTTGTTGCACGTGCGTTGGATCATACGAAACACGTGTACAGCAAACGATCTTTACAGCTCGACATTTCGCAAGAAATAAGTGCCGGCGTGAAAAATTATTTCGCGGGCACTAATTTTTGCGATCGGAAGTGGTATGCTATTCCTATTGAAAAATCCACCTGACCGGTTTGGTGTGTCCTAGTGTTTTCTAATGTAAACATCAGACCGGCCTGGTGTGTTCTGGTGGGAACATCGGACCACCCTAACGTGTTCTGGTGTCCCCACAAAACACGTTAGGCTGGTTTGGTGTGCCCGTCACTCATTCTAGTGTGGTCTGATGTGCACACCAAAACACACTAGGCTGGTGTGATGTGCACACTACCGCATACTAGAATGGCTTGATGTGCACACTATGCCACACCTGACCAGTCTAATGTGCACACCAGGGTACACTAAATTGGCCTGACATGCACACCAGGGTGCCTCTAATGAGCACACATGACGGATATATGTTTGGTGTTGAATGAAAACATGCTTTCTTGTAAAATTAAATAAGATCTGTATTAAAAAATCCACCAGACTGGCTTGGTGTGTCCTAGTGTTTTCTGATGTAAACATCAGACCGGCTTGGTGTGTTCTGATACACACATCAGACCAGCCTAATGTGTTTTGGTGTCCCCACAAGAACATGTTAGGCTGGTTTGGTGTCCCCGTCACATCATCCTAGTGTTGCTTGATGTGCACACAAAAACACACTAGGCTGGTCTGATGCGCACGCTACAGCACACTAGAATGGCTTGCTGTGCACACTATGCCACACCAGACCAGTCTAATGTGCACACCATGGTACAT